GGGGTGGGGGGTAGGGTGATAACCTGCTGGACCAGTTGGTTTAAGTGACGCACCAGGACAATAAAAGTGGGCTGCGGTGATAGTGTGGTAGGCGATCCCGAGGAAAACAAAAAATCTATTATTGAACTAAAACTATTCTAGGAACACAGTTCATGCATAACACACCTACAGTCACACACATCTTTTACCAGGCTCAGAACTCTATGTAATATTTTTATAAATGCTACTCTCTTAAATCTCATCTAGATCATACAAAAATACATAAACACATATGTTTAAATGTCTAAACCATGGAAATGTTAATATATGACAAAAGATAACTTAGTTAAAAGCTATCCAAAACAATTTCCAATAAAATGAAGCTTTAACTATGACCACGATTTCACCTTTCTTCCAGAAGCTTGATTACTGCAAGACCCTTAGAAACTGGAAGTCACCTAATAAGATTTGCTTGATAACACAAAGTAGGCTAAAGAACTACTAAATCAGCTACTGTATAGTGAAGTAGATAGGTTTGATGAATGTCTTTCTATTAAAGGTAGCACATGATGCATTGATGCATTGGTAGCAGCAAAATGTATTAAAAATCCCATCTAGAAATTACAATCTCATCTCTTAAAAAATATTATCTGCCTGATATTATTAGCAAGAATTAGCAAGAATAGAATAGAATAGAAAATCCCTTTATTGTCCTACAATGGGGAAATTCTGTTGTTACAGCAGCAAAAAGATTATAGAAAAAATGGTCACACAAATGTGGGCCTTAGAGGAGTGTATAAGAATAACATAATACTGAAGTGTTAAAAAATAAGCAGAGGAATCGTTTTCTTATTCATAGAGGGAAAGTGTTTAAAATGAAGAATGAGAATATCTTGGCTGGAAGTAGAGATAGAGGATTCAGAGTGCTGGAAAATATTCTCACCAGCAAAAGAGACAACGTTAAATTAAGTTAAATGTAAAACCTATAGGCATCAATAGATTATTACTTTAAGTGAATTCAAATTTTACAAACTGTTTAAAGACATTTTTTTTGCCTTTTCTTACTCATTTTGTATGACCTCGAAAGCAAACATTGTGAGAAAAACAGTTTTAAAAACTTTTAAATCCAAAAAAGTTAAAAACAATTCAATGGACTTTGTTTCCAAGTTTGAAGACGTTTCCATTCCCATTCAGGAAGATTTTTCCAATTCAAAATGTCAAAATCAGCATTGAGTTCAAAGCTTTCTTGAGTTTGCCTGCAATAGCCTATACTAGTCTATGCCTCTGAAATGGGAGTCATTAGGGGGAATTGTTGGCCTTGCCAATGTTTTAGTCCCTTGCATGGGGGTGGGGGTTGCGATGATAGTGGGAAGAAATCAACTCTATTGCTGCATTGTAGATTTTTGAAAAGCTGAAACCTGAGTCCACCCCCTCTGTTTAAGGTTGGGTTTTCTTTCTTAACATAAATGGCTTCCTTCACACCCCTTTAAAACCACCTGTCTTCTTTGTCCAACATGTCCAAAAGAACTTCTTTTGGAATGACTATGACCTGGATGAGTGAGAATCCCATCATGAAAAGGGACAGATGGATCCAGTATTCAAGGTGAGACAGCCAGTAGGAAAGTTCAAAACATTAATTAACATAAAAACAGACAGCTCCTGAGGACCTGCGGACCTGTAGCGACTGCAGGAGGGATGCGGGCACTGCCCAATCACTGACACTCTGGGAGAAACACAGGTAAGTGACCACGATCATCTGAACAGAAGATGATTATTAGAATGAGTCACTTACCTGGTTTAACAGTTCAGTCCATCCTCTCAATCTTAGGCAGGATAAGCCAATGCACTGCACATGACTCCGATCCAGGACAGGGATTCAGATCAGACTGGAGTAGTACTGGAATCCAGGAGTTTGCAGTCTGGTCAGGGGTTCGGATCCACTAAGGAACAGACAGATCCGGGTTCCAGGAATCCATCAGAGCGTGAACGCAGTTTCAGAGTCCCGTGCATCGAGCATCCAGCTCATACAGAAACACACCTTGGAGGACAGATTCAGAGTTCCGTGCATTGAGCATCCAGCTCATACAGAAACACACCTTGGAGGACAGATTCAGAGTTCCGT